GACTATGTCCTCTGGTCCTAGACTCTCCCATGAGGGGAAACATCCTCTCAGCACTTACTCTGCCAAGGCCCTTAAGAATCCTGTATGGTTCAATGAGATCACCTCCCATTCTTCTAAACTCCAGTGAGTAGATTCCCAACCTGTTTAGGCTTTGCTCACAAGACAATCCATCCATCCTGGTGAACCTAGTGCATAATACTTCATAATATTTTGACACACCAGTGTCTCCTCTCATCTCTCCATATAGGAAATGCATCCTTAAGCTACTCTACAATTTCAATTAGCTCCACATCAAATAGCCTTTGCCATCGATCTGCCCATCCTCCCTAAGAGTCTCAACATACATGTTACAATCAGATCACCCTGCACAGTATTTGTAACTGGCCGATTTTGATACCAATCCGTCAGTACCTAAACCTCAGTCACAATCCTGTGTATTGTATTCGCTGCACCCAGTATGGCCTACTGTACATTGCAGAAACCAAACACAGACAGGGTGCCAGCTTTGCAGAACACCTCTGATCTGTCTGGACCCCTGACCTTCCCATAGCCGGTCATTTTAACACAGCATCCTCCTTGCATGCTCCACTTGTCTGTCCCTCAGCACTGCTCCAGTAAATCACAGCAAAAACTGGAGGAGCAACATCTCACCTTCAGACAAGGCACTTTACAACCTTCTGGTCTCAATACTGAGCTCAATACCTTCAAATTGTGAGCCCATTCCTTCCCTTTTTTCAGCTTTGCTTATTACACTCTCTGTCACCCTGTCTCCCCTTTCCCCACCCCACTGGGGCTTTCTGTCCTTTCCAATCTGGTAGTGAGACACACCATCGTTCTGCCATTCTCACATTCCCATCACTTAATCTGAACTATCAACATCCTTTCCCTCACAGCACTCCAAACAACACCAGCCCCACAACTATAAATGCTAACCTCTCCACACTTCACGTCAGCTCCGAAGAGTAATCTAGACTTGAAACGTTAGCTTGCTCTCTCTCCATGGATGCTTCCTGACCGGCTGTGATCTCCAGCATTTTTTGTTTTCTTCAATCATCAATACTGCTCCAACACAACCAAATATTTTCCCCACTCATTAATATTTTTCTGACACTTAATTTTTGGGAATACATACAAACCACATCCATTACATTTATTTTCAGATATCCTCTCTTGCATTAAACAATTCTCCTGACTTGAATAAGACTAAATTGGTGTGTATCATTTAGTGTACTGTACTGTCCCAAGGCACTTCGCATGAACATTATCAAAACAAAATTTGACATTCACATTTCCAAGTATAAATATCTGCCTTTTCTTTATATCAATGGCACATATTTTGGTTCTAGGCTGGGTTCAATTTGGCTCCTAATGGTTCATGTTGATTCAAAAGGGTTCAGGTTGGGCAGTTTTTCAATAGGATGAGATGAATGTGAGCAAGTGTCTATTTCTGGTTGTGATGGTTGAGAATGTAACGTTGGCCAGGATGCAGGGAGAAGTCCCTGTTCTCACCACTGTACCACAGAACCCAGAGCACGAATCTGAACCAACAGTAGTGAACATACCTGGTTTAACCTCTTATCTGCGGAAAGGCACCTCACCTCAGACCAAGTCACAAGTCCTAAAGTGAGATTTGAACTCCAGTCCATCTGACTCCAAGGGTGAGAATGCTACCAACCTGGTCAAATAGCTCCAGCTTGAAACCACTTACCTGTTCAGTCCGTAATGATGTTTACATTTTATCTCAAGAAGAAGTAACGTAGGACCAGGAGTAGGCCATTCAGCCCCTTGAACCTGTTCTGCCATTTAATGAGATCATGGCTGATCTGTGCCCTAACTCTATACACCTTGGGTCCATATTCCTTAATACCTTTCCTTAACAAATAAAAATCCATCTCAGATTTAAAATTAACTGATATAGCATCAAGTGCTATTTGTGGAAGAGAGTTCTGAACTCCACCACACTTTGCATGTAAAAATACTTCCCAACAGCTCTCCTGAATGGTCTGGCTTTTAGACTGACTCCTAGTTCTAGAATCCCCAACTAGTGGAAATGGTTTAGCTATCCCTGTCTTCTCCCTATTCTCTCCCTAGTTACTCTTCTGTCCTTAATGTACTTGTAGAATCCCTTTGGATTCTCCTTAATTCTATTTGCCAAAGCTACTTCATGTCCCCTTTTTGCCCTCCTGATTTCCCTCTTGAGTATACTCCTATACTCCTATTGCCCTCATACTCCTCTAGGGATTCACTCAATCCCTGCTGTATGTCCCCGACATATGCTCCCTCCTTTTTCTTGAACAAAACCTCAATTTCTCTCATCATCCAGCATTCCCTACACCTACCAGCCTTGCCCTTCACCCTAACATACCGACCCTGGACTCTCGTTATCTCATTCCCATTTTCCAGCCGTCCGTTTACCTGCAAGCATCTGCCCTGATCAACTTTTGAAAGTTCTTGCCTAATACTGTCAAAATTGGCCTTCCTTCAATTTAGAACTTTAACTTTTAGATCCAGTCTATCCTTTTCCATCACTATTTTTCAAAATAGAATTATGGTCACTGCCCCCAAAGTCCTCCCCACTGACACCTCAGTCACTTGCCCTGCCTTATTTCCCAAGAGGAGGTCAAGTTTTGCACCTTCTGTAGTGGGTACATCCATGTACTGAATCAGAGAATTTTCCTATACACACTTAACAAATTGCTCTCCATCCAAGCCCTTACAACTATGGAAAATTAAAACCCCCTACCATAACCACGTTATTATGCTTACAGATAACTGAGACCTCCTTACAAGTTTTTTTCTCAATTTCCCACTGACTAGTGGGGGGTCTATAGAACAATTCCAATAAGGTGATCATCCTTTCTTATTTCTCAGTTCCACCCAAATAACTTCCCTGGATGTATTCCCAGGAATATCTTCCCTAAGTACAGCTGTCATGTTATCCTTAATTAAAAACGCCATTCCCCCCTTGCTCCCCTTTCTATCCTTCCAATAGCATCTCTACCATGGAACATTAAGCTGCCAGTCCTGCCCATCCCTGAACCACGTCTCTGTAATTGCTACGATATCCCAATCCCATGTTCCCAACCATGCCCCAAGTTCATCTGCCTTACCTGTTAGGCCTCTTGCATTGAAATAAATGCAGTTTAATTTATCAATCCTACCTTGTTCTCTGCTTTGTTCCTGCCTACCCTGCCTGTTTGACTCACTCCTTTTCCCAACTGTACCAGTATCAGACTGATCTCTTTCTTCACTGTCTCCCTGCATCCCAACTCCTACCCTTACTGTTTTAAATCCTCTCGAGCAGTTCTAGCAAATCTCCTCACCAGTATATTCGTCCCCTTCCAATTCAGGTGCAATCCATTTCTCTGACTCAATTCAACACGTTCTAAATCACAGGTCTCTGTGAAGAAGTCACATTAGGGCCCTACTGATGTGCAGTGGTGGCGTCCCTACCCCTGGATGGGGGGAGCCCAGATTCAAGTCCCACTTGCTCCAGTGGTGTGTAATAGCATCTCTGAACAGGTCAATTAGAAAAATAGGTTAATTTAAAAAAAATGAAGAAGTGACATTGAATCACAGAAACCGGACTCATTCTGTTTGTTCCATCTCATCACCTCCTTGTTTTCTCTTGCAAAATCTGGGTTCTGAAGAAAGTTGGCAGGACCCGAAACATTAACTCTGCTTTCTCTCCACAGATGTGGCCAGACCTACTGAGCTTCTCCAACAATTTCTGTTTTTGTGTCTGATTTCCAGTAGCTGCAGTTCTTTCGGTTTTTTTGTTTTGCGATTGCGAGAATGATGTTCAAGCCCTCTGATGAGGGTCACACTGCCTCTGATTTCTCATTTGATTATAGTCTTTGGGGATTGGAGAGCGTGGTTTCTCTGAGCATGCCGCCAGTTGTGGTTCGGGGGCAATGCTCTCACGTGGGTCAGAGGTTGAGGTTCAAGTCCTGCTCCAGAGGCTTGACGCCAAAATCTTAGTTCTTAGTGATGTCCAGAAGTAGAATCATAGAATTTTACAGGAGAGAAGGAGGCCATTCAATCCACCGTGTCTGCATCAGCTTCTGAGCTATCCAGTTAATCCCATTCTCCAGCCCTATCTCCACAGCCCTCTCACTTCATCACTTTCAATTATGTATGCAGTTCCTTTTGAAACCTCCTATGGAATCCACTTCCACCACTCTCCCAAGCAGCACATTCCAAATCCAAACAACTGAGTAAAGAAGTTTCTCCTCATCTTACTCCTAGCTCTCTTGCTGACAATACTGAAATTGTGACCCCTAGTTACAGACATACCAACGAGTGGAAACACTTCTTCTTTACTCTGTCGAATTGTTCAGAATTTCGAACACCTCAATAAGGTCACCCCTTAATCTTCTCTGCTCCAATAAGAATTTGCCCAATCTCTCTAACCTTTCCTTGTACCTAAAACTCTTCATTCCTGGTATCATTCCAGTAAATCTCCATTGCACAATGTTCAGGACTTTAACATCTTTCCTTAAATAAGATGCCCAGAACTGATCACAATACTCCAAATGTGGTCTGACCAAAGATTTGTGGAGGTGTAGCATCACTTCCTTAATTTACTGCTTTATGCCTCTATTTATAAACCCAAGGATCCTATAAGCCTTCGTAACAAATGTTTCAACCTGCTTGCCACTTCTAGAGAACTGTGTACTTGAACCCCCAGGTCCCTCTGCTCCTGTACTCCCCTCAGCGTTGTACCATTGAGCCTGTATTGTCCCTCCATGTTTCTTCTACCAAAATGCATTACTTCACATTTCTCTGCATTAAATTCATCTGCTGGGTGTCTGCCCATTTGGCCTGTACTCTTGGAAGGGCCATTTTTTTGGATTTGACCTTAACTGAGGCCTCTACTGTCTCGGGTGGATTTAGAAGATCCCAAGGCCAAGACGTCAAATAAAAAGCAAGGGAGATGTACCCAGTGCGCTCACCAACACACGTCCCTCAATCAACACCCACATGAAGAAAACCTCAGATTACTGTCTCACTGCTATCCACAACTTTATTATCATACATCCAATATTACAATAGCAATCATCGAAAAGTGTTCAATGGAAATACAATTTTATTTCAATTCTCGGAGCATTAGAGGGGCCACGTTCACCACACAAACTGCTGCGTTCAAGAAGGAAGTTCAATTATACGGAGTGATTCTAACAAATGAAAGATCTGTGAATACACCTCAGCAATATGTTGACCAATAAAAAAAAGCCCTCAGCCAATCACAACCCCAGATACTGACACCCTCTTCACCTCTGATCAGAGAGAAAATGTCCACCAGATTTAAGAGCAATTCAGTGCTGTGTCCACTTGAGGGCGGCAAAAGCAACAATTCTCTAATAGTTTTTAATTTGAAGCAACTGATTCAGTCTCAAAAAATACTCCTCTTCTGTCAAACTCAGATCAAAAGATAAGACTGTGTCCCCTTGACAGCACAAACACTCTCAGGGCAGGGGCAGCACGGGGTTAGATACAGAGTAAAGCTCCCTCTACACTGTCTCCATCAAACACTCCCAGGACAGGGACAGCACGGGGTTAGATACAGAGTAAAGCTCCCTCTACACTGTCTCCATCAAACACTCCCAGGACAGGGACAGCACGGGGTTAGATACAGAGTAAAGCTCTCTCTACACTGTCCCCCCATCAAACACTCCCAGGGACAGAGACAGCACATGAGATACAGACTGAAGCTTCCTCTACATTGTCCCCAGTACCGGGAGTGCTCCCTCTGTACCTAATGCCAATGTATTCGATGCACTCCGTTGTTCTTTTTCCTTTCTCGGTGCCTGTGTCTGTCCGAGTCTGCCCACTAGTGGCAGATTAACGACCTGTTCCCGTTTGAATTTGGAGCCACACCTTTAACTGCGAGTCTCTCAAACACGGTGCAGAATCAGACGCCCTGACAGTTCAGAGGAAGGTTTATTTTACAAAAATTCACAGTAAAAATATAAAGAACATTTAAACACAAGAAAGGTGGAAAGTGCCTGAGCAGCAATGGGGGGTCAATCTGCAATAATCAATTCATCCACTCCCCAGTCCTCATAGCTTCCATCTGGCAGATATCTTCGGATAATAATTGGAATTTTTCGTGCTCTGAGAAAGAAGACAGATGAATTGACACAACTGGTTTTCACTCACCTTCAGAAACAGCTGCAGATGACCCACTTAGAACTGACATTGCTCGACAAGAGTTTATGGTTACGAAAGGAAATGTGCATATTATTGATATTGAGGGTGGTTCTTAAGAGTCATAGAGATGTACAGCATGGAAACAGACCCTTCAGTCCAATTCATCCATGCCAACCAGATATCCTAAATTAATCTGGTCCCATTTGCCAGCATTTTGACCATATCCCTTTAAACCCTTCCTAATCATGTACCCATCCAGATGCCCTTTAAATGTTGTAATTGTACCAGCCTCCACCACTTCTTCTGACAGCTTATTCCATACACAGATCACCCCTAAGTGAAAAAGTTGCCCCTTGGGCCCCTTTTAAACAGTAAAAGAATATTTAATACAGGTTATCAAAATCACAAACTCTGACGGTAAATAAGGAGAAACCACTTCAAACAGCAGGAGGATTGTAGAGGGACATAGACTGAAGGGAATTGGCAAAATAACAAGATGGGTGAGGTGTTATTGCAAAACTGAGCTGCCTCAAACAGCAGTGGAAAAAGGTTCAGTAGGAACTTTTAAAGCAAGTTGAATAATTACTTGAACACAAGGCAAAAGGGGAGAACAGGATGGAAGTGGTTCTAATTCCATCACTTGTTCAAATTGCCAGTACAGGCAGGTCTGATGCGAATGGGCTCCTTCAGTGTTTGGTTCTTTGAGCACCACTGCAATTGAGAGTGCGGGAAACTGCAGATTAGTAACTAGGCTGTTTAATCTAAGTAATGGCGTTAGGCTATGGAAGGAATGGTGGCCAGGACAGTGGGACAACATCCAACCTTTTTCCAAATCGTGCCAGGAGACCTCGGGGGTTTTGTGTTTCATCCAAGAGGCCAGTAATTTACAAAGTGCAGTTCCACCAGACAACTGGAACCTCAGCTAAAACCATGTTCTGGGCCTGAGGCTTGAACCTGATTCACTACAGAATGCTGCTGCTATTCATGCTTGTACCGGCTCTTTGAGCGAGTGTTAAAATTCCTCCCATTCCTCTCCAACGGCCTGCAGTTGTTTCTGGGTGAAGCAACCGCACACGTAGTTCAGATTCATGGTCAATATCTAACCCCAGGCAGAGGCAGAGGGAAACACTGCCGAACACGGCTGTTCACATCCTGATCTGTTCAGGGCCAGAAACCATGTGAGGCTTTCGGGAAATAACTGCTCCTCTCAATATGGCACAGAATAAAACAAACATAAATCAGAATTACAAATTCCAGAGACCTAGTCAACATTGTTAATATGGGAGATACAAGAAGAACAAGGGAACAAGGGGTATCCTTAAACTGAGACGCACTCAGATACTTTTCTCATTTGTAGTGGTCAGAAGACTCAATGTTAAGATTGTAATGAAAGGCTGGTCTCATTTGAGCCAAGGAAGTTAGGGGGAGATTTGACAGAGATGTTTAAAATCATTTACAGTTTTGATAAGATAAACAATTACAAATTGGTTCCAGTGAGCGAGGACATGAGGTTAAGATGATTGCAAAAGGATGAATGGAGAGATGAGAATTGATAACTTTACACAGCGTGTTGCTGTAATCTGGAACAGTCTGTCTGAAATAGGGGGATGCAGACAGAGTCAATACCATTTTCAGTGGGTCTGGGATAGATAGGTATTTGAAAATGATTAAATTTATAGAGCAATAGGGAAGGTGAAGTGGAACGAACTGATAAGCTCTTTCAAAGAGCCAGCATGGGTACAATGGGCTGAATGGTCTCTGTGCCGTCAGACTTTATTCCCATCAACCCTCATGATACAAGTTAGGCAAACCATTCCAGTCAATGAACAGCCAGTTTAAAGTCAATATAATGCAAGATGGTGGTAACATCACTGGGACCAGCCAACCAGAAGCCCCCAGGCTAACTTCACCGCTGCAGACGGTGAAATTTGAATTCAATAAAAATCTGGAATAAAAAGCTAGTCCAACGGTAGCTGTGTGAGACCTTGTCAGTTATTGTAAAGACATGCTGCATGGGTCCTGCACTGGTCCTGTTACTTACTTTAGCTCCTTCATTGCAATCTGCAGCGGGTCTGTCTCCCCTTCCAGCTCCACCATGACTGGTGCACACATCCTGCGGGGAAGGGTGGGGGAGGAGGGCAATGTGTGAGAGAGAGAGATTAGGGAATCAGTTTCTGCAATTTTCAGTGGCTCTGAGCTTGCGAGAAGGTCCACAAAACACCAGAGGTGGGTAATCCATCACATCAAAGGCTGGTCAGCCTTTCAAATCATTCCCACCATTTACCTTGATCATAACGACTTCCTTCTGCCTCAGCTTCATACTCCGAAACAAAATTCCACCCATCCATTTTGTTAGCGCCCATCATGTCCCTGGCCTTTTAGACTCAGAGAGTTGCAGATTTCCATTCCCCTTTCGGTGAAATGGTGGATCCTGATATCCCTCTCAATTGCTCGTCTCTTTCAGATTATAACTGTTATCGTCACAAGTCTCCAAGTCCTGGCATATATTTATGCCTCAAGTAACCTCTTAACAGATTCTCTGGGCATTTTTTGTTTTGTTTATATCCAGAAGTGCTCTCACACACAACTGAACAGTTATTTTTACCATCACCCGCGGTTTATTTTTTCATCTATTAATCACCAGCAGTGAATCACCCATGTTTTCCAACAGATTAGTTTACACACAAAACCTGTAAAAGGAAATGCAGACCACCAAAGGTGAGGGGGAGGGGAGAGACCAAGGTATTTACCTTAGTGCAGTTTGTGGGATCTGGCTGTGTACCAATTGATGGCTTAACTTCCTACATTCCAACAATAACTAAAGATATCACAAAGGTACTTTGTTGGCCATATAGTGTTCTAGGATGTCCTAATGTTGTGGAAAGTGATGCAAAAATGCTGGAACTTGCTTTGACTGCACAGCAGCTTACCACCATCCAGGACAAAGCAGCCTGTTGATTGGCATTACATCCACAAGCATCCACTCCCTCCTCCACCAACACTAGGTAGCAGCAGTGTGTACTATCTATAAGATGCACTGTAGCAATTCATCAAAAATCCCCAGACAGCACTTTCCAAACCCACAACTACTTCCACCTAAAAGGACAAGGGCAGCAGATACATGGGAACACCACCCCCTGCAAGTTCCCCTTCAAGCGACTCACCATCCTGATTTGGAAATGTATCGCCATTCCTCCAGTGTTGCTGGGTTAAAATCCTGGAATTCACTCCCTAAAGGGCTTTGTGGGATAACCCACAGCAAGTAGAGTGCAGCAGTTCAAGAAGGCAGCTCACCACCACCTTCTCAAGGGCAACTAGGGACGGGCAACAAATGCTGGCCGAGCCAGAGAGGCCCATATTACACAAATGAACAAAGAGTAAAACAATCACCAGTAGCTCGGTAACAATGGTCTGGGTGCACTCACGCAATCTGAAGGGCACGTGTGCCCAGCACACGGGCTCGCTCATACTTGGTCATATACGACGTTGTGATCCTTTTCTGATTGGCCTGCTGGCCATCTGCTGCGGGAAGAATCTCCACATTCTCACGGTCTTCCTGAAAGCAGCGGGGAAACGAGGGGTTAGTTAGAGTCATATGGCACAGAAACGGGGTTTTACAGCTGGGAGCAGAAACTGGCTCTGCAGCCCCTCCACCATACAATCTGATCATCCAATTACAGTCTTCTTAAATTGGGTTTCAGTGTACTATTGTTCGATAAAACCTGACCCTCAGAAAGAGACAAGGTGTGGCAAAAGCCTCAATGAAAGAGATGGGCTTTAACGAGCATCCTAATGGGTGGGAATAGAGAGATGTCAAGACAGAGACTTAGGGAGGGAATTCTTGAGCTTGGGGTCCAGGCAGCTGGAAGCACAACTGCCAATGGTACAATGACCGAAATCAGGAATTGGAGGTGTGCAGCGATCAAGGAGGGTTGTAGGACTGGGTGGAGCTAGAGACCAGGGAGGAGTGAGGTCCCGTGTTGGGGAGAATTGAGAGAGCTTTGCTATAGATAGAGAGAGGAATATTGGCTGTTCTAGGTGCCCACCTCCTCCGCATTGTCCAGATCATCCATTCCTTCATCTTCATCGGCATCATCGAAATCATCTCCATCAAAACTAAAATTAAAAAAAGAGAAATATTAAAAGTACCAATCAAAAGTAGTAACAGCTCAGCTCTGGCCATCCAATAAACCGTTCAATTAGCAACCTGTGAACTAAGGACTAATGCTTCACATCCCTTTTAAACCAGGCCCCACAGAATTAACTTTAAAACCCTTAGTGCATTTCCAGCTTTACATCTGTGCCTCCAGTTATCGAAACTTAGCCCCAATCCACAAGACTTAAGAAACAGGAGCAGCCGTAGACCACATGGTCCCTCAAGACTGCTCTGAAGCATGAGCTGATACTATCCCCCCAACCAGCAGCACCAGTCACAAATCCGTGGGCTCTCAATCAGCGAGACAGTGGGAAGTGCTACAGCTGAGTTAAAACCAGTGGCAAGGGAAGAACACTTGGTGCAAGGACGCAGCTTAGGCAGTTGGAGCCCTTTAGCACACAGTACAGGGACCCAGACCAGGAGGAGGGGGGGGGGGCACGGAGG